TTTTTTTCCTTTTCCTTTTTTCCTCGTGGGCAAGTTACTGGAACCTTTTAAAAAATGATTATTTATGGTGCAAACTTGGAAAAGCAATTATGCCTGTTTTTCAAGTTCCCACCCGCCCGTGGCCTGTGCTACAAAGTGCCAATCAGCAAGATCCCCCTTGAGAGGCCTCTAGGCCAGTACATGGTTATTCAGCTACCCCGTTGGAGAACCCCAACTTGGATTTAAACATATTTTGAAATTACATGTCAGAGATGTTCCCAGCCTTCTTTCAAGTTCCTAAAGATATAAGTTTACCAAATGCTCAAGTAATAATGATTCTCAGAACTTACAGCAACAGAGTGGGAAGCATGAGAGCTGCCTTTTAGACAGCAGCACACATGCTACTCTGTAATGGATGGACGGATAGATACCCTGCAGATTTTCCCCATTCGTTTTCTGAATAATTGCTTCAGGGAACTCCAAGAAGGACCATTGTCAGCAAAATCTAAAACTCTATACCAGGGGTCAGCAAACTTTTTCTCTACAGGCCCAGATAAGTAAATATTTTCAACTTTTTGGGCCACATGGTCTTTATCACAACTCTGCGGTTGTACTCCCAAAGCAGCCACAGATAATGCATACACCAATGGGCAAAGCTCTGTTCCAATAAAACTTTATTTACAAAAGCAGGCAGGCCGATTTGGCTGTGTGTCATTATTCGCCAGCATCTGCTGGGCCTGCTATCCCTCTGAGGAAGACTCTGTATGGGGTTTGAACTCATCTATATACTTTGCTTTCCCTCTTTTTTTTTTTTCCCTCCCTTAAATGCTGCTATGTTCCACACATATTTCAGTTATGGTCTTGTGTCATCTTTTTTCTTGAAGGTAAAATGTTGGATTGGGTGGAGTAGGGAACTGACTCTTGAGCTTGATGTTATAGATCAGTCTGATCACGATGTTGGCCTGGGCATATCTCATTTTTTTTCTTCCCATGGGACCCATCTGGGTTGGGCACAGTCTTAGGGAAAAGGGTTTAGACTTGGGATTGTGCTCAGAAACAGTCCAGTAAGTATGAAGGCAATGGAGAAAATGCTCTTTAGGTATCTTGGGGGTAAAGCATGTGCCTATTAACTAAACAACCAGCTTAGGGAGTAAATTACATTAGTAATTCTATTAGAGACCGTGTACATATATGTTTATGAACAGTGGCCTGTATGTAAAGTATGCATTAAACATATGCATTAAATTCTCAAGAAGTTGATGTATTTATTAATTATCAATAATCAGGCCCCATGGGTGCTAATTTCACATACGGTCCACTTGGGGCCATTTGCCAATGTCTAGTCTCTAGGGGAAGATGGTTTAGATGGAGATAATGATGATGAGTGTGGAAATCAGGAAACAGGAGGTCCTCAACGCTATCTTCAGGCAGACCCAAGCCCTGAGTGACCCCAGACTGTTTTGCTTCTTGAAGAGATTCCCTTGAGGGAATTGACCTTCTAGGTTATTTCCCACCTATCCAGACTGGAGCAGGTCCCAGAGGAATAAAGCAAATAATTTCCAGGAATTCACCCTGGTGAATTTCTTCTGTGGCAGGTAGAGATGGAAGGATGCTTTGGGTAGCTTCTGGCCTCACCTTAATTCTACCATGAAATCTAAGCATCTAAGAACATTATAGGAGTGAAGCCCTTGAATATGAAACTGAAGCTGATTAAGGATACCTCTTCTTTCACACAAAAGCCCCTCAAGATACACTTTGCAAAGATATACTTTGTATGGATTAATTTATGAGTAAACTCTGTCATCTCTATGTGTAGTATGATACCCATTGATTAAAAAGTAGGCAGAAACCTGTGGTTTGGCCTTCAAATATTGAGCTGGGGTCATTTGAATTCCTGCTTTATGTCAGCTCTCATAGGGAAGTAAAGGAATTCCAGAGACTTACCTGTACAAGGAGAGACTTTGTCTATTTTCATCTTTCTTGACAGTTTGGAAATCTTATTGTGTGGCCTGGGTTACAGAAATAGACAAAACAAAATAGAGAAATCTGCTTTGTAGGAACAGACTTGGAAAATGTGGTTGCTAAGATAGTGATAGGCTTTATGTAGGGGGACTTTCCATTATCATTATACTCAAAGAACCAGAAAAGTGAACTCAGATGAAAAACATACCTTGGGTACTTGGAAAGTGTGCCTCTATAGAGAGGTTGTGTAAAACCCTATCAAAGGAATTCTCCATAGGAAGACTTGAGAATTTGTTTACGGCTTTGGGATGAAAAGTACTGCCCAAGTTGTTTTAATTACTGGCTGAAATTTGATGGAAAGAGGAAAAAAAAAGTCCTCCAGATGATACAAAGTAGACTTATTTCCTCATGCTCCATGGATAATTTTTGGAAAACATTTTCATTTTCCACTCTTACTTGACAAGCTTTGAATATGTATTTTCACTGCATATCTGAACATCTTTCCTGGGTTCCAGAACTGTGTTGTCCAATATGGTTGCCATCAGCCCCGTGTTGCTACTAAGCACTTAAAATGCAGCTACTGTGACTAAGGAACTGAATTGTTAATTTTACTGAATTTCAGCTAATTTAAGTTTAAATAGCCACATGTGGTTATGGCCACTTTATTGGGGGCAGGACAGATATAGAGCATTTCCATCATCGTGGAAAGTTCTACGTGGTGCTCTGTTCTAGAGTGTGAGAGATCCAAGTTTTATTCACAGAGTTGTTTTTAATACTGAAAACTTGATTTTCTCCCAGCTGACAAAGTGTAAAAAGGAAGGCTATGAAGAAGGTAACTTTGCTTCCATTTTATTCAGTCTTAACATTTGTTCAAAATTCTTTTCCCCCTATTCTGAGTAATTCCATTTCTTTTTATCTTCAGCATTTTGTATTTGTTTTTTCTCATGCAGTGAAATACAAACATAGTAATTTCAGGAAACTCTTTACTTAGTTGTGCTTGAAATATCCTCACTAATCCTTAGAGTCATAACTGAGTGGCCAATCCCATATTCTTAGTAGAAAAGACAAGAAAGAGAAAGACTTGTTTTCTTTGTTTGTGCCAAACAGGAAAATGCTGCAGTTTAGCAATAGAAAATTCAGAGGGAGGAAGCTTTTTAGGTCTTGAAAATGGACTCAGAGATGTGTGTGTTAATGTACCTTCCTGCTCTCTTTAATTTCTCAGGAGGATATCTGTGAGTATCCAACTTAGGCTTTTGTTTTGTTTTTGTTCTCGGTCTCAACATTAAGTACACCTTAGCTTCAGGAAAAAGAATAAACCTTTATTTTTATTTTTTACTTAAAATTGAAAAAAATTAAAATGTATTCAGCTTACATCAAGCCTCCCCCTCTTATACACACAAAACATCCAGAAGATTTTGGATACACTTTTACATATTTGTTTTCCTATTTGAATAATGGGAAAAAAGTTGAACAATAGTTTACACGTTGATGTCTGAAGGATATATAAAAAACCTGAAATATTTTGACAGAAAAATTTTTCAGCAAGCACATTTGAGTGGACAGTATGTTTCTTTTTTTTCCCTTAAGGTCAGTTTTGTAGGCTAAGAGACCATGGAGTTGGAAATTCGTGCTTGTACTGAAGGAACCTTTATTTTTAGGTCATGGTTTACAACCTTGTGTAAATATATTTCAGAATGTACGTAATGATCTCAAAATGGTCATATACCATCAAAATGGTCAAAATGATAATTTTCTGATAATTCCATCGGGAAAAACAAATTGAAAGTGAAACATGTTGAAATTATGAGGGAGCAAGCCAACTGAGGGCACCAGTCCTGTCTGTTTTGTCCCCGGGGTAAATCCAAGTGCCCCCAATCCCCTGTGCTGTACTTGGTTTCTATAGAATGAATGCATTTAAATGTACCAGTCAGTTTGTCTATTATTATGGAGTAAGAAACATAACCACAGGAACACTGGGGATCAGGGCCTCCTCTGGATGATTTTCGAGGCTGGAGACCCTATTGTCCAGAGAGGCAGGTGGTGACTTGGGATAAGCAGCCCCAGAAAGGTTTCTAGAGAGGCAGACCCAAGTGTCAGAGACAGATGGGGTTCACGGTCCCTGCTGGCATTTATACTTTAAGGAGCTTCCTGGCTTTCTGGTTGATGTAAAGTAGAAGGATGGGAGTGGAGGAGAGTCATTCCTTAGGTCCACATCAACACCCACATTCCCATTCTTTCCCTTTTATCTTGTCTCATCTGTAGATTGTCAGAAAAATACATCAGCAGCATTGCACCCCACTCAGAGGATTGCCAACACCTTCTCCAAATAAGAGTGATCAACATATTTAATAGACTTCAGCTGTGTTTTTGGGCGATCTGGCAAAAAACTTAACTGAAAAAAAAGAGTCAGATTTTCAAAAAGAAGCACTGCTTTATTGCTTAAATGTGGAAATAATAGAGACCACCAGCTAATAGTTTTGTGAAAAAGAAAGTTAAATATGTCCGTTGCTACTTCAATCGCGTATCCGTAAATGGAAGGTGACAAAGGGGAGTAATACGTGAAAAGGGGCTCAAGTTCCGCCCTGAACTCATTACTATTCTGAGCTCTCCACCCACAACAGTGATCTGC